TTGTGTCTGTTTTTTTTTGTGTGTGTGTTATATATATATATATATATATATATATATATATATATATATATATATATATATATAAAGCTCAGTGCTTATATATAAAGCACTGACAAAAACAAAGTCCTAAATCTGTGTTATACCTCTTCCTGCTGAGTTTAAAGATTTTACTCATTTGCGCGCAGAGCTTGCAGAGCCGAGGCCCGTCTGTCTCGTCGCGGTTGAAGAACAGAGGAAGTCCCTGCGATGTGCTCTACCACTGTCTGAGGCTTAGACAGCTCTCGCAGTAAACACACTTCACACTACAGTCAGATGCACATTCACACTCCTGCTGACATGGATGTAATTACAGTCTAACAGGATGCAAACTCTAGATTACCCTAAAAGTCAATCTGAGGGAGAGGGGTTTTCCGCATAACAGAGAAAAACACGCACATTAAAAAGTGAACAGAAACTCTAAAGCAGTTAAACAATATGTATATGCATATGTATGCATGATTGGATCTAATCTGAAATTATCTTTTGAAATCGGGAGTATGCCAGGAAACATTTTTCAATCAATCAAGTTTATTTGTATCCCACATTTCAGCAACAAGGCAGTTTAAAGTGCTTTACATCATAAAAACACAAAAATACAAAGTCATAAACTACACCACACATTCAACAACTAACAATTTTTGCTCTATATACTTTTATAACGTGGCACTTTCTGCAGAAATGTGTCAGCCTCTTTGTAAAAAAACTTAAACTGACGCCTACATGAACAGCCAGCATTTTTCTCTTGGATTTATTATTCCTCCCCTGGTCTTGAGAGATTGGGTCACTTGGACCCCACCAGTTTTTGTCCTCTGTGCACGGTACGGCGGGGTCGCACTGACCCCGCGTGTGCCTCTTAGTGTGGTTTCATTAACCGATGGTCTGACAGGACACACACACACACACACACACACACACACACACATGTTAAGCAACACAAATTCCTGTAAGCATAACAATTCCAGATCACACAGCCAAAGCTATTCCCTATTCCAAACATTGAGCTCACTGTTTGCTCTGTGTCAACATTCTCCCTCCTGTCAACCTGCATTACAAGTTGCAAACAGGTTTGTCAATTCGGAGCAACTCTTAGGAGATCGATCCAGAGGAAACGGCATCCACTGCTACTTCTGTAAACAGTGAGCTGCTGTGCGAAGTCTGATTACGGTCACATTTAATTTGTAGTATGAGTGGACGTGAAAAAAAAAAAAAAAAAAGATTTAACCAAATAACATAAAAAAATAAGATAAAACATTGGAGCTGAACATCAAGACCCACTGTGTGAACATAGACTAAAGTGTCCTCCAAATGTCACAGTCTTCTGAAACTTATCTGATTAAATCCATATTTGACTAAACATCAAGTAAAAAGAGAGGATTAATTAGTTTCTACGCATCATAAATCTGGAACAAACTTCAAGAAAACTGCAAAGATGTGGAAAGACTGACTTCTTTTCAATTAAGACTAAAACCCAAACCATTTAGAGTTGCCTTAGACTAATAATAACTGTAACATTGATCAATATATTTGATGTTTATTTGCTTGATGGTTTTCATCATGACATTTGATAAAATGTAATGTTTATTGCTTGTTGCATGATTGGTCACTGGATTATGTTTTCATGGTGTAAAGCACTTTGAACTGCCTTAATACTGAAATGTTCTAAAGAAATAAACTTCACTTGATTTTGAATAATGTTTCACTCATGATATTACTTCACAGAGCTCCAGTGGATGTTTTTATTTTTTTTGTTGTTTTTTTTAAAGACACTAAAGAAAACAAGACATACTGTAAATATATTTTTGCAGAGTATCTATAATACAGCAAAGGCCTCCAGTATCTGTCGAATGTGGAAAAAGATTCCACCCCCAAAAGTTGGAGGTTGCTGATGGGGGTGTGGTGAGAAGGCAATCTGCCAAGCCCACACTTCCATCTGCTTTCTGTGGCATGTTAGCCATTTCCTGAACCAGAGGAAGAGGCCAAGGGTCGCTTTGTGGGGAAAACGAGAGGGTGGGGAGCCAAGAGGCGTGGGCTGGGGGTCGGCAAGGGAGCGGGGGGGCAGGAGGGGGAGGGTAATTATGTAAAGACGGTGGAGATCAGAGGCTAAATGAAGAATCTGAAAATAAAAGTATGTGCTTTAAAGAAAAAAAAAACTTGTAAAACAACCGAGCAACATCTTGCACAATTAATGTAAGGTCATTAGCATGTGGCTAATTTGCATATTCACACATAGCACTTTCTCCAGCACAGGAACAGTGCCATCTCATCATATTCTCTCTCTTTCTTTTTTCTTTTTGTCGAGGAGGAATTTCATGCATATTTTTAGCATAATATTCTAAAATGTTATGCTAAAAACATTTTAGTATAACATATTTTTAATTTTAGTAGTGTGGAATGGGTCAATTTCAACATAAAAATGCATAAGATATGGAGTACACTAGACTAAATTACATTCTCTATGCTAGTTTATGAACTGTGATGCCTGTATTTCTTTTGCAAAAATTGAAACCAGCAGATTTAAGTAAAATAATGCTGGTTTAACATGAACAAATGTGAATATTTCTGCATTTATTAAGTATTATGAGGCTTTTGACCTTTTGAGACTAAGAGTACATATTCCATCCACTCCCATGTGTTTCCATACTTATCAACCCCTTGGATGTGATAAAAAACAAATTCTTACTTTTACAAACTTTCCAAGATTACACAGGAACCCCTTTAGGTGGTCTTTCATTTCTAATATGCCATCAACAGAAAAGTCGACGTTGAAAATGTCTAAAGCCAAACAATTTCTCAATCTAATCTACATCAAAACTGGGTGGAATCTGTTTCTGAGTTAAAACAAATCATATGCACATGTTCAGGTTAGTTTCTCTTGAGAATACAATATGCCAGATCAGAGGTGTGGAATGTCTGAAATGTTACTCTCCAAGATGTTCTTTTGCCACGTAAAACCGTTTATAGAAGGGTGTTTCTATAACACGCAGAGAGAAAGCATCCGACTCTTCATTCTCAGGACGTTGGTCACAGGAAGGCGAAAACAACGAGGATAAACCAGTGAGCCAAATTTATTCGGAGACAAACCATCTGATACCACTTTGGTTTGTTGATCGACACATGACCTCTTACACAGTACGCATGAAGTATTTTAAGTTTTGGATTTAATATTAGTCAGACTTAAGCAGATTGCAGGGAGGCTGAACGTACTGCAGCAACGTAACCGTTTTTATTTATTTGATACATTGGCTTTTAGAAATCTTACAGTCAAGAACTTTCCTCCTAGAGAATGCATGCAGAAATTCCAGTTTATTAATGCTAGCTGCAATAATCACCAATACAAGATGCTGAAGACAGTTTAAAACATCCTTTCCATGATCATTTTGACTTTGTTCTGAAATTAAAGTGAACGGTTTAATTTCTGAGCCGTGTAACGGAGACTGTTCTTCTTGCTTAGTTAGAATGAGTGAATGAATAATTTCTTAATTTATAAAAACACAGCTTTAAGTCAGATCTATAAAACAAAAAACCTATTGTTTAGTACATATATATCATTGTATAGTCTGCTTTATAAAGATATTATCAACTTAATTGGTCTCTATTTACTGCTTCATAACCTGGACCGTTTCACTGTATTCATTGATTTTTTTTGTGCTGCAGAGAGAGAAAAACCAACTGCAGCCATTTTTCAGTCAGAGCAAATCTGTGCCGGGTGCAGTTCAGTTTTTAAACTCTGACAATGCTTAATATTATGTCCATACTGACGAGCAACGAAGTGAACGAGAAAAAATACAACAAAGAATGACATAAATTCAGGAATTTTTTATACATAGAAGCCAAACTGTAGTGTGTCATGGTACTTACAGATCATAATGTTGATTCCACTTTGGATCAAGAGTATTCCTCACAGTATCTGTCGAGTGGCATTGTCCAGAACCGTCCACTACCACTTTAGCAAAAGGATCTGGCAACCCTGCAAAGGTCAACAGAGCAGAATGAAATGGTTTTGATTAGCAAGCGAATCAAAACCAAAGGTTGGATCACCTTTGAAGAAGGAAACAAACATGAGCTGCAGTAAAACACTCAGATATATCACTGAGTCTGCCTGGTTCGACCATAAAAAAAATAAACATCACAAGGATAAACATTTATATGGTTCATTATCTGTTTAGTTTTTGATGTAAGAAGTTGTATCCTTGTAGAGCCCAGTTTCTAATTGCTCCAATTGTTTTAAATGTCATTGATCTGATGGTAGATATGGGTATCAGTTCTTTTCTTGGTGTCCTTTCCTTTCCTATAAAGACAAACTGCTTTAGTTGGATAACATGATCTAGATTATCGTCTTATCCATTTTGAAGAGCAGATAACAGAACTCGTGTGTCGTGTTATATTTACAACCCAGGGAAACAGGAAGTCATAGATAGATAAGTAAATGTTCCTAATTCTCTGGGTTGAAAGTAGGAGAAAAAGTGAAAAGTAAATCTAAAACTGAATATATATTTACATTATAGGAAGAAGTAGGGATGGGCAACAAATTGATTATATTGATTTTAATCGAATTTGCTGTTTATATAGATTTAGCGACTGTAAAATCTGTATTTTTTCCCCACCAATGCCCTCCGCGGTTATTTATATTTCAGAGTGATGTCAGCCTGCACAGGGCCTACTATCTTGTTTTACAAGCAATGTTTTACAGTGTGTATTTATTTGGACTTTGAATTCAGGTCAACTGCCAGAAAGGATGAAATGTTTTTGAAAATATTTTCTTTCATTTGTAAATTCATTTTAAGAAAAGAAAAGGAGGAAAAAAGGGATTTAAAATTTAAAATCGAAATTGGTATGAAAGAAATCTGGGATTTTACATTTAAGCCATATCGCCCTCATGGGTAGAAGAAGTTACTGTGGCTAAGCCTGTCGCAATAAACAATATATCAATTTATTGCATGATAAATTAAAATGAGAGCAATAATTTCCATTTGGACATCAATCGTCAAAGAGATACTCCGGTTTAATGTGATTGGAAAGTCGACATTTTGAAAAAAGCTGCAATCATTTGACACCCAGTACGAAGTAGTTAGTCTGAACTACCTGCCACTTTTGCCCGTTTTCCCTGTCAAAGCTGAATGACTATTATTTTTCAAAATGCGATTTTGGTTACAGAGACTTCATAATCCATTATAATCAGTGTTTGTTTGGTTTTGTTTTATTTGGGGTTATTAAAATGTTTTCCGGTCCCAGTGTTGAATGTTCCTTAGAAATTAAAGTTTGTTTTAACTCTCAGTGGGTGTAATCACATCACGGTTTCCCCCCAGTGTATTATGAGCCTGGCGGGCCACCAGGCTTTACTTGGGCCCCCACCAGGTTAAGCGTTGCTTATTTATTTAGGTTTTCTTTTTAAATGTTTGCATTTTTTAAGACTTTATAATTGGTGTTCAGGGATTAATCTTCCAATAGCACATAATTATCAAGTGATATTTACAAATTTCCTGTCAACTTTAAATACTTTTTAACTCAAAAACACGACGGGCTGCTGGATGAATGACTGACCTAGTGCCCAACCACCAGGCTTTGGGGGAAACCTTCCATATTATTATTCCATAATAATTACAATTATTATCTTAGTTGAAAACAGTCTCAAAATGACAATATTATTGTTTATCAAAATAACTTCTGGGACAATTTACTGTGCAGAATAATTTGTTATTGTGACGGGACTAATTGTGGCTATAGTTGATTTGTTCAAAACAGTCATTTCTTGTGACAGGATTTTTTTCCCCAGCATCAAATAACCACACTAAAATTAAAAATGCCTTTTTTTAAATATTTGAGTGTGCACACTATGCTACTGCAATAAAAGCTTAATTTATTTGTAATTTATACACATCTGTTACCAATAATTGTGGAGAACTATGCCTGATTTGCAGTAAAAGGTTTCTAGTTTCAGTTTTGACCAAGCCAGAGAACTGAAGTATTTGAGAAGATAATTCAAACACTCTGGTTTTAGAAGAGCATGTTCTCACATGCATTTTTTTTTCTTTTTTGGATGTATGAAAATACTACCATGTGTGGAAACGAATAACCTGTTTAGCTTGAAATATGATTCTCTTTGATTGTTTGATGATGCATGAGTGCTTAAGTAGCTTAGGGGGAGAAGAAAGGCTCGATGAGCCTCTGTGCACAAGTACGTTTTGCATTTTAGATACTAAAAAATATGTACATATTCGGTTCGGTGTGTACGGTTTTGGTTTTCAGGCAAATTCGTGATCTGGGTGACTCTTGATAAAATAAAATAAAAATTGCCTTAGCAATGACAAAAAAACTTTAATCCACATTAATACAACAATCACTTATACAAAATGTCTTTCTGAAAATTTCCAATAATCAAAATACAATTGTTGACAATACCCAGGAGGCTACGTATTTTTCTTATATCTTATTTTGATGCACTCCTTTGATCAGAGTTCAAATTTTTATTAGTATTTGCCTCCATTTATAGTTTTACCACCTCATTAAAATCTTTAACGACTTACAAAGAAACAAGTTCACCTCCCAGATAACATGTCCTCTCTGAAGAACCAGCAAACAAATGGGACTTAAAAAAAAAAAGCAACACAAAGTCTTTACTTACGAAAGAAGTCTTTCTTTGCCAGGTTTTTTGCACAGAGGACTAGAAAAAGAAAACAGAAAAACAAAGACAGGTGTAAATGTTAGAGGTAATAAAATAAAACAAAGCTTAAATTGAAAAAATCTAATTTCTTTACACAATCCCAGGAATCAAGTTGGAGTTCTTCTTTTTTTTTTCAGAGATTGACAGAGTTTCAGGTAAAACTTATCTCCTAAAAACTTCTCTTGGTCACTGTTTGCCATCCAACACCTGGATTCTATGATTTGGGGGATCAATTAAAACTTTTGGAAATATTGTGTATTGTGTTAGTTATTCTCTTTTTATACAAAAAAGTTCAGTGTCTACCAGCTGTTAATGTCAAAATCACCTCAAAGTAAGTGATTTTTGAAGGGGTGCACCGATTGCAGTTTTCTGACCCAATCTGCCGATTCCGGATTTGGCCAATGCAAATTTTTTTCCCTGAAAAGTTGCTAAATATAGCAACAAAGACACCCAGTCGGCAGCAGTGGAGTGACTATTGTTAACTGCACGTGGAGACGTGACCTTTTGGACGTGCCTGTGGCTCCGCGCTCTCCCACAGTAGATCAGATCGGTGGATAAGATCGGTTTCTCAAGCAAGCTTCCGCCAATCGCCAATCTCTCCAGATTAAGGAAATTGGTGCAGATTTATAGGTGCATTCCTACATTTTTCCTTTTCAGACAGAATTTTGATGGATGGGAAATAAAAAGGAAGTTCAGTTATCTGCCATGTGTTGTTTGTTTTGGGGTTTTGTTCTTGCTGGGAAACACAAAATGGATTTCGCTGAATAGTTCCTGCTACGTCCTCCTCGTTGTAAGGTTTGGAAACCAGATAAGAGTTTCTTTGTTTTAAATTATTGATTGGACAAGTACTCTTTCCTGTATGAAGCAAGTCCACAGGGGTTTGCAACACCGACAACATACAATAGCTTTCAACTAACAGGGACAAATGGAGAGCCAAGCTGAGAACAAGAGCCTGTTTTCTCACGTCTCCTTCAGACTATTGCAGTCTCTCTTTTTTTTTTTATTTCCTTCTTTAAATGCCCTCCGGTGTGTTGTAAGGACTTGGCAATACTGGTGCTTTGATGGATGCTTGCTACAAAACTCAAACTTAAAGGAAGACAAATTAGGATAAGCATGGTGATTAGAAGAATCCAGTCCAGGTCCGACTTTCTCAAGTACTGCGGTTTTCCAGCAGGGACTCCATCCAAGGTGGTGCTGATGCCAAAAGAAAAAGTACCATGTGTTCGGAAACAGAGCGGAGGCATCACGGATCAGAAACCGGGCGATGTTAAATCTCTGTTCACAGTAAGACTGTACAGTGCAAGTCTGATAAGTCTCAGTTTTTTAAGACAATATCTGCTTATATGAGATTATTATGCTGTGTGGACTGAAATCTTCGTAGATTATTTGTGGAGAAAAATTCAAACTGACAAGTTAATGAGCCGAGTTTTTAACTGGGTCAGCATCAAATCTTTCATTCAAACAAGTGAAACAAAGCATAATATAATATAACATAACATAACATAATATAATATATACCAAAATGAAACTTTGTTTTGATATTTCCAATATTAATATTGCCGTTATGGTCAAAAACTGATATTTACCGATATTATTATGCTGCATTAATGTCACATGACCAAAGAAATACTGCAGGATCAACATAAACCTGAACAAAATGGAAACAAACATTAATATTGGCCCAGTTCTAGTTATCGGCCCGATACCGATACTTTTTAACATAACTGCATCGTGTGTGTTAGCAGAAATATTTTATGTTTTTCCAAGTAAATTCAGTCAATAATCATTGAATAAAATCATGTTTAGGAAAAAATAATGTGATTGGGGAAAAAAAGCTTAGAATATTTTAGCAAGGAATGAGTGTGCCAAAGAAAATGTTTAATTTAGCAAGAAAATTTCAATATCTAATATAATATTTAAAAAATGATTGTCATTATGTTTTTCCCCAATAATCTGAGCCAAAACAATAAACTAACACTGTTATTAATTACCAAAGTAATGTTGGCTTGGAGGATTAATTCATCATAAAATATTTAAAAAAGGAACCCAACGCAGGCATGAGAAAAAGCACAGAGCTGATACGTTTTTCCATTTTTGACAGAGTATTGATTTGCGGCGCATCTTCGCAAGAGGCGAGCTCAGTTTGGCAGCGACTGGGCTGCACCGGTTGTACTTAGCTCTCTAGTTACCAAACTGTGCTAAGAAGAAGATTAAGGGATTAACTTCCACGCTGCTCCTCTGTCTCGGCCACAGATACCACAGAAAGAAAATCCTCCTTCATTGTTAACAGTGGACTTTCGCCAATTGAGCCGCCAGGAGCGGCAAGCTACTGTTACTGATAATGATGAATATCTTCTTGAAGCATAATCAAACAATCAGGCAATAACGGAGCGCAGCCGAAGGTTTAAACGTGGCTTCTGGAGATATAAACAAAACCTGTGGAAATGGAGAAAGGTAATCTAATACTCTGTTTTTTTTTTTGTTTTTTTTAAGTTAGTAAGTTAGTTTTAAATATAGCATTTGCACCAAGAGTAGAGTGAAAGTCGATGCAATTGCCAAGCAGTGAGTGAACAATCAATGTTTCCACTTAAACATCCAAAGCATAAATGCAGACAGATCCAATTCATTCTACTTTTCTTTTTCTAGGGGTAAGCATAAAATGTAGAGCCATCCTTTCATCATTTGTAAACAAATTACGCTTTCATCCCTTCTTCCATATTTCAGTAGAATTTCACTGCAGTGGCACCTGGGCTGGGATAATTAAACCCCAGGAAATGACTAATCTTGTCTGAGCTTCTTCAGAGAACCGCCGCGGCCTCTAGAACAAATCTGATATCACTGCCGTGTAAAAGAAAAAAACAAAAAAACAAAAACAAAAAAAAAACAGAAAAAACATCCTGCAGCAGCCTATTGACTGGATGCCACGTGAGCAGGCGAGCCACTGTGATCCGGGGCTGGCAGAAAACCAGATACACTGGGAGTCTAGTGAGGAAAGCTGGGTCAACTAACCGTTCACCACCGGAGAGCCCCGGGGTGGTCTGTGGGTCACCGCTCCCACCGTCAACTCGCTCTGCACCAACAGTACAGGGACTAAACTCACTCAACTCAATGAGAGCTGCTTTAATAGATATTTGTTCTGTCAATCAATTAAAAAAAACTGTAATCAGATCAAGCACACACTAAAGCTTTGATTAATCACAATTCATTACTGTACTTAACTTTATAAGCTTGAAATGTAAATATGTGTGTTGAAGATGCTTTGCTTCTCTCAAGCAAAGCATCCCTGAAGATTCTCTGTTTTCCAGGGTTTCGTTTCAGGAAGGTTAAAAAGAAATCATTTTGTTTCAAACATTAATTTGATGATTTCAACTAGAAACTGGTTATGCTTGGTTGGAAGGATAATTCATCACTGCAGTGTGTTCCGACGACCTTGGTTTTATCCAAGCTTTGTGTTTTTTAAAGTGAAATTTGCCGATTAACACACCAGTTTGACGACCCTCGTTCGTCTTTTCACTCACATTTGCGTCTCTGCGTTGCTGACCGCAGTACAAGACCGTGTTAACGCGGGCTAGGGACCAGGTGTCCCTACGTGGGAGGGAGGCTTTTAGATCAAAATGGGAAATGTGACTACCGTATTTTCCAGAGTATAGAGCGCACCTTACTATAAGCCACATCTACAAAGTTTTTCTTTTTTTTTTAAACTGGAAACGTACATATACAAGCCGCAATGGGCTATAAACCGCTGGTATCTCCGTCGCTCTCATCTCCATCGCCGAACCATGGCTTACGTGCAGCAGCTCTATTTCCCTCCTGTCCTGCCAGATCGATATCCTTCAACTTAAAAGCGTCATCATATGAACTTCTTCCTGTTGTTTCCATGATGAGGGGGGGTATGAGTTTGAAGAAATTTTTCCATTGTGCCTGCTGCTAGCATGTGCTTGTTCTAAATGAAAATCAGCACTTTCTTCTTTGATTTCCAATTTTGACTTCCAATGATTCACTTCCTGCTAAAGAGCCCCCTGGTGGTTGAAGAAAAATCCACAGAAAAGCCACACCGGGCTGTGAGCCGCATGGTTCACAACGTGGGAAAAAAGTAGCGGCTTATACGGTAAAAATATGGTAATGCGATTTTACATAAATCACTTGTGTTAAGGTTGGCAGCCCTAGTAGATGTACATTACTATTCAAGCCAACAAATGGCAGGAAAAATGGTTAAGACTGCAGAGTCATTAATTCTCTGGGGCGTTTAGTAATTAGTGTGGAGCTATGACATGTTGCCCATAAAAACAATGTGATAAAGTGCAACATCACAACATCAACATGATGGTATCACAACACAATTAGGCAACCTAGAATGAACACAACTCCTGTCCACAGTTCAGTGACTTTTATTTGGTCTTCCATTACAACTCAGATTAACCACAACAACATCATCATCTTACCATTTACACATTAACTCGCATACCAGGACTTTAAGCGAAAGCAGCATTTGCTCTTTAATGGGAACAGTTTGTCAAACATCACCCACACTGCAGATACTCCAAGCTAGAATCCAGCAACACCTACTGGAGGACAGACTGCCAACAAAGCACAGTATCGAGGAAAAGGCGCATGTTTGTTTGGCGCATGCCAAACAAACTGGTTTCACCACTTGGTGGAGAGAAAAAAACAACGCAGCAGAGTACAATGGGGAAATAAAGGCATACAAAGACGAGAAGGGAGCAGCTGCACACGTGAAGTCTGAAGGTAGAGATGTGATGACAGCGTGTTGAGAGGCGGGAACGACGAGGCGATTCTAGAAATGTCTTTAGCTATTTCGAGTTGTTTGGCCAGAGTGTGTATGTTTTCATTTAGGCTTTTAGTGTCCATCTGATTTTAGCTTCTACTATAAAGGTCGCAGTTAGTGAATAAAGCTGGCTGCCAACTATTACTTCAATACCAATCAGACAATTTTTTCAGGCAATTAGGGTCAAGGTCAAAAGAAAGTACACCCACTGTCCAGGGATTAATGTATTAACAATCTGGTATTTACCTCGC